TTTATTAGATCAAACCGTTGGGGTATATCGTCAAGTGAAGTCGGGAGGTTAGATCGAACCGTTGGGGTATATCGTCAAGTGAAGTCGGGAGGGGTAGGATATCCCTCAATCGTTCTTCTCTCCTAACTGTCAAAGCTTGTCGGATCAACACATGTCGTGGAAGAAGGAGATAGCCTCGCACACTCCGTTGGGTTACGCCTCAACCAAAGGAGAAGAAAGAAGTGGAGATCTTGCGGTATCGTAACTGAAGTAGGGTTGTCAAGTCGTGAGAAGACGAAGAGGAAGAGTAAAAGACCACATTGTTGTCTGAGTCGAGTTGTGCGGTGTCGTCTACATCGAGTCATGCGAAGGAGAAGAGGGTAGCGGCACTGTCGAGGGCTTGCGGCGTTGAGTAGGCCGCAATCAAAGTCAGAAAGAGTAAATATGTGTCAGTCGCGATGATAATCGAAAGGTAGTGTAATCTTCGCATGCAGTGGAAGAAGAGACCGATGGAGAAGGGTTAAGTGTGCAGCTTTGTCGAGAGGAGAAGTTGTGCATTTGATCGAAGAGATGAGTTTCATGTGAAATAGGAGGGCTCTATGAAGCCGAAGCTGTGTGTTAGCTATGGCTAAGGCCGAAGCTTTTATATACAGGTATGTGTGATTTTAAGTTAAAATATTGTTGCATAAATAATTATATTTATGTTGGAGGGGACGTTAATTAATTAATGCTAAGTTTTATTGAAATAGGAGATTTTACATATAGTGAATTCATATTTGAAGGAGAAGTTGGAGGAGAATACGTGTTAGGAGAATCGATCTAAACAATTAAAAAGGTAAATTTTCATGTTAAAAGAAATTATCCAAATGGTATGTATATATATTTGATGTTAAAATAAAGTTTACTTGAATCAGGAATCGACGACTTGATAAATTATTGAGATTGAGAAAAAGTTGAAATCAATGCTTTCAAAGAGAGACAAGGTAAAGATTTATAAATTTTATGAGTTAAGTATATAAATTAGTTTAAGTAAAGGTGCTATTAATATTATATCAAGTGATTTTAATTTATCAAACAATTGAATTATGGGTGGATAGAGAAGTGATATTGCTTGGGGGAAGTAAACTGAAGGAATAAGCATTTTCATAGTTCTTTAAAGTCACGGTGGGTAATTATTTTCTCATATGTACTAAATTTAAAGCTTATTAAATAAAGAATTCATTTAATGCTTTAGACAATTATTTTATGTTTGTATGCATGTTGTAGCTTAAGAATGAAAATAAATAAAAGGGGAAACAGAAAAAAATGTTTAATGTCCTTAAAAGAATGTAATTTAAATGAAATGAAATGAAAGTCAAATGTTTAAATTATACATGATTACCCCAGATGGTACTGGCAATGGATGCAATGTACTCATGCACGTTAAAAAAATGGTAAAATAGCGTCTTCGGGTGCAATTTGAGAGTACTTTCAGTTACATTTTTTATGGTGTCTTCAGAAACATTTTAAGGGTGGCTTCGGACACATTTTGAGAATACATTCGGGTATGAAGATAATCCTGTGATGACTATTAAAGAGATTAAAAACGTTAAATACTTATAGTGGAACAGGAATGGATAAATTGAAAATTTTAATGAAATTAACTACATTTTTTGTTGGTCATTCATGCATAGCATAGCATAACATAAAATTTTAATACATATTAAATTATAATTACTCACTAAGTTTTACTTATAATTGAAGTTAAATATTTTCTTTCAGGAAAAGAATTGTTTTAGGTTGATATGTCTGATAGAAGAAACTTTGTTTACCAGAGGAGAACCACTGTTATTAGATATTCTCTTGATGATAGTTTTCTTTATTGTTTATGTCGATTTTTTATTTACTATTCAGTACTGGATTGAGATGTTATTTTTGGATATTGTTGTTTATGATAATTTAGATTTTATTGAACTTGTGGATTAGTGGCTCCTTTAAATGTACTGAAAGTTTTCAAAATGTGGATAGTTAGATGTTAATATTGTCCGACCATTGTTTCTGCCCAAGTCGTGACAAGTTCTGGCACTCAAAAACACATTCGAAGTTCTAAAGCCACTCAATGACCTCGTCGTGATTCGTGTCCATTCAAATATGACAAATCCACTTTTATTTAAAAATTTTGACTTCTCAGTTTTTAAGTCCAAAAGGTTGAGGTTCTTCATTGATGAAATTTGTATGGTGGAAGAGATTCATTCTACTCATTCGATCGAGTGAGTCATCATTGTGACTACATGTGACCCATCTGGATGGTCTCCTTTTCTCAATTTATCGAATCATCGTAGCACTCGGTGGAGTTGTCGTTGTATCTTCTCCACAGTAAACTTCATATCAGCGTCCGATTATTATCTCCTCCGTGGTATGCTTAGGATTTTAGTTTGGATATGTATAACAGGTATAAAGGAATAATATAGGGTGGTGGAAAAGAAAATTTGCAGGTGGAGATATGGGAGATCTTAGAAACTCTAGGATAAGCCAAGAGTTAAACTAGCTATGATACCAAATGATATCGAAATTAGCTTGAACCATAATAGAAAAAACAAATATTATTATTGAAAGCAAACAGACGGTTATAATCAAACACACTTGAAAGAGCTTGATTCATGGGTAGTGGAGGTCGGATTGGTAGTTGGGGAGTAGAGTTAAGTGGTTGAAATGGGTTGTAGGTGGTTGGGACATCAAAAGAAGGGGTTGAAATCGCGTTGGCTGCTAAGCAGAAGCCTGATACAGTGAGGGCAGCAAGTGGGGTGGCAACATAGTCGTGAGGCGGGGTGGGAAAGGATCGAACGACCAGGGCACAACAAGAAAACAAGAGGTCTGTTTTTTTTCTGGATGACAGCAGCGAATGGGCGAAGCCGGGGATTGCAAGACAACAAAGAGCAGTGTTTCGAGGCGGTGGCAGTGAGCAAGAACATCTGGAATTGGAAGAGTGCAGTGAAAAAAATAAACAAGTGTTGTTCGGGGTGGCTGCAGCGATGGAGGATGGTTAAGAGCCTCGTGGGGGAAGATGCGGAAGGAGATAGGAAAGGCAATCACCACATCAGAAGAAAGGTACAGTCAGAGCACCACCTAATCTCTTGGATACAACCCACTAAGGGAAAAGAACGAATGTCGGTGGTTGTCCAAACAAAGGAGTCACATAAATAAGCCCTAGAAACTTAGAATTTGATCCCCTATGGAAAGGAGGCACTAAACCAACATGGGAGCGATGGTCGGTCCTCCCAGATCTGGGCCTGTTCGGTCCAAATGATAAAATAGCGGAACATAGCTCCCACGGCTCTTTATACCCATGTATTGTAGCATAAGTCACGGAAAAGAAGAAGAGGGGGCTCCCGGTAGTTCCCGCATCAGTAAAACTACTGACAAATCATTCGCATGCTATGAATGAAGAACAGATTATACCACCATCATGCTACTCTTTTATGAAATATCTAGCAAATTCAATATGATTTATACAATATATTGCATGGAACTATACGCAATATTAATGTGAACCTATTATCATAATAGAGCCTTATAAATACATTTGTTCAACTTTTACATATTGTAGAATAATTTTTAACTATAGCATTTGAGGTTCCAATTGCTTCCCTTACTTTCCATTCTACTTTTGATGTTATCAAAGTGCTCCTTAATGCTACTTATGAGTTCAATGAGATGATCGATGCCTCCAACTTAACCTAATCTCCAGATTAAATCAAAAGTTCAACTACTCTAATTGATATAAGTTTTCAATTTGTGTTCTCACAAACAGACACAAATTGAAAAATAAAAATTCACCTATCCAAAATTACTAGATTCCAATCAAGATGCAATAACTATCCTGATAACTTTAGCATTATGAATTCAACTAATATTTGAACATGGGGTTGCTTTTCTACTCATAATTGGATCCTAATTGCCTAGCTTTTCAGTTATTTTGATCCTATGTGCTCCCTTATTTTCTATTCTTGTTGTGATGTTATCAATGTGCTCCTTAATGCGACTTATGAATGGTCTGATTTGGAGATTATTGATGACTCTAACTTAATCTAATCTCAAGATTGAATCAAAAGTTCAACAAGTCAAAGATATAATGATTCAATTTGCAAAGATGTACGAATTGAATAAATAAAATCGCATACACAAATTTACTAAATTCCAAGCTAGATGCAATAACTATCCTAATGCCTTCAGAATTATAAATTTAACTAAATATTTGAATATGGGGTTGCTTTTCTCCTAATAGTCAGATCATAATTTCTTAGCTTTTGAATTATTTTGATCAAACGTATTTTGTTTCTTTTTTTTTTTATGTTTGAGGTTTCTTCATGACAACATTTTCAAAGAATGGTTATAACGTTTTTAATTCTAAGAAAAAGTTGTTGTAATACAATATAGTGACCACAAAATTTAAAAAAAAAAAAGTAATACTTCATGTCTTTTCATGCATCACTTTCACAAACATAAATACCTTGATTAGAACAAAATGAAAAGCATTCAATAGTAATAAAATAAATAAAATAAATATATAACGGTACAAATAACTAAAAAATGATAAATAAACTATTATCAACTTGACAACTATAAAGATGCAAGTTTCTCAAAAAATCAAAAACTCTCAAGCACAAAACGGAGATAATTGAGCAGTACAGATGGACAAACAGCCTAAAAATTAACGATAAGTACAAGAGAAGCAAGAACATGATTGGCTTGAGTTCAAGATAGCCAACAAGAAGCATTTTGGTGTTTAGACACATCATATCCATCTAAATATCCGTAATTTTCAGTCTGAGCAGGTCACATCTACTCAGTTAGCATGTCTTAAAGGAAAGTGTCCAAACATTTGGCTAGGCTGGCTGTTTAACTTGATGATCAAAATATTAGATGATGATGGAAATAGAATAAGTGATCAACTGAAGAAAAGATAACAAAGATAAACTAGGATACCAAATAATATGAGATTACCAGAAACAATGTGTGCTACATAAGGATTCAGAAAGTACCAATCAAAGAAATATGAAGATTTGATGCTTGCCCTATTGTAGTGCACACAGGATACCCTGCATATGTCACAAGCACATAATATTACATCCGTTAGCATTATTCCAAAAAAAGTTTTAACACAAATTAATATTGTTTTTTTAACTAAAAGACAAAGGAATTTCATGACTTAAAAAGGAAATTTTTAGAAGCACAATTGAGCTGTTATAGTTTAGTAGCATCAGAAGCCGATGCATTAGGAATTTACTACTGAAACTTAAATCATAATGATAAACAGATATATAAACTCGAGATATAAAATTAGTGTGTTGATTAACCAACACATCATTATGTTCCAAAAAGACTTGAAACTACAAAAGTTTCAACCGAGAATTTGTGTAAATGGAGTTAGTTCCAAATTTCGGGTGCAAAAACTCAATTGATACCATTCAAAGAAGACTGTTTCGAAAATATAGGAGTTGCAAATCAAGGAAATCAGTTGAAGTATATTAATCAGAGGATTCACAAACAGCACTCAACTATGACGATAAGAATAATAAAGTAAACGTGCAAAAGACAATCTAAAAGTGTAAATTCGTCTTAAGCACAAAAAGTATTTTGACTACCTCAATAGGCTTGGTTAACTTGTGCCAGGGATTCAATTCAATTAGCATCAGCAACAATTCAGGTTTCAATCTTCTATACCTTTCAATAAATGGCTTTATCACTCTCTAGTTTCCATGTTTTCTTTCCTTGGTGCTGCAAGGGAGCAATGTCCGAATTGAGTACTGTGGCATATGCCGTGATGTCTGAATTTGCTCTGGAACTTGCTACAGAGTTTCACGTTGCACTTTGTGGCTTTCCTACTTTGCGATTTACCCATCTAACAGCTTCCTTTAACAATTTTTCCTTGGCAGGTACTGTACTTATGCTCAGTTGATTGATTTTCTTCCTTTTTGTAGCATTTTATTAAAGCAAGAAGTGTGAGACTTCCTAGAATTGCTGGAACGAGAACTTTAAAGTTGAAATTTGTATGTTTTATTAAAATTAATGTTAGACACAAGTTGTAATTGCTGGAATTAAAAGAGCTTAATTGAAACTAGAAATAAAAGGCTAGATCATCATGAATTTGAAAAGGTTATTAAATTTAGGTCTTTTTAGGTTACGAATGGAACCCAAGGAATGTATTTTTAAATTGATTATGAACAAAAAAATGTCAATTTTTCCTTTGAATATGTGTATTATTCGAAGTGAGTTCTTTGAGTGCTTGCATATCTTAATGAAACCTTTTGACAGATACTTATCCTTGTAAAGTGTGAGACCTATATCTTTCAATTAGTAACTTTTGTCCTCTATTGTTTCTTATTGATTGTTTGGCAATTGGTGTGTCAAAATGAGATTGTATCAAACTCAATATATGGATATTTCTTTTTTTAAATTAAATTTCATTAACCTGAAAATATTATAAATCATAGAAATGGGCAATTTCAAGTTTTTGTGACTATAATATTCTCGTGTTGATTATATGAAATAATTTTTTTGGTTTAACCTCAAAAGAGATTGATCTTTGCTTAAATTTTTAATGCTTGTGAATTTGTCAATTGTGCCATCTTGTGTTTTTTTTGGGCATCTCATATTAGGTTTTTATTATTGAACCAAGATCCTAAGAACTACATCAAATTGATATCATATCAAAATGACTACGAAAGGGGCTCAACATTAAGTTCAGCTGGCAAATCAATGGAAGAACACGAATTTAATTACTTTAGAAAACCAAAACAAAATGCTAGTAAAACAAAATGAAATGGGCATTGAAATAAATGAAATTAAACTATCTCAACACTTTAAAAAACTAAATAATTTTGTCAAAAAGAACTGGATAATTCACATGGCCTTAATGAGAACCCATTAACAATCTTTTCTCAACGTGAAAGAAATAACCGGAATAAATGTCATCAAGAGTACGCCATTGAAATTTATTACAGCCATTGGCAACAACTTTATGACATTGATGAAGACAATTAGGAAAGTTAAAGTCAATTTTTCGATATTTGATGGAAAATAGATACTAAAGCTTTCTCTAACTATAATCGGAAAATAGATACTAAATCTTTTTCTAAGTAATGTATAAAGATAACTTCTTGGATTGACAGATGATATCAGGCGAGCAAGAAGTTTTGTGAAAGCAAAACTAATTGAAAAAGTTGAAATATACTAAATTGGCATTGAGAGATAGGAAACAATCAGATAGGACCAGCATAGATTTCCCCATAGAAATTGGGACAAATAATATTCAATTTCAGGGACATCAAACAAACAGAACAAATACAAAGTTAAGCACCTACAATTTGAGAGATAGGCGATCTCTCCCTATTCCTATAATTCAAGAAGTAGAAAATCTCTCACAAACCTTAATCCTATAATACAAGACTAGATCTCATACATAATCCCAACCCTAAACTTATTAACCCTATTTAAATTAACAAAAAATAAAAAAAAATCTAAATTGCCCTTAAGCCAGGCACCGGCGTAATAATAATCCCCTCCCAAAAAGAACCTTATCCTCAAGATGGATAAAAGAAAATGGTTGTTGGATCGAGCTCCCCCGCCTCCTTGTCATAAACTGTGAAAACCTGCAATGTCTGATCTTTACAACGGTTTTCATCACACCAAAAACAAAATCCCATTGCTTGCTTCTCCTGAATCTATCATTGTAAGTCATTTGAATGTCGTCCTTAGTCGTGGCCCATTATTCATGTCTCGGGGAGCCTTCTTCTGCACTTCCACTATTTGAGTTTTTAATATCGTCATGGTGGTAGGACACTCCAATTGTGATGCTCCTATTACCTCTTTCAATTGCATTTTTATCTTCAACCAGCTGCGCTAATTCTATAACTTACCCCAATCCTCATAGTCTCAACAAATGAAGTGTTGCAGGCATGTCAGGCCTTGGACCTTTCATGAAATTCCCCTCCAATATTCCTTCATAAATCCCCATCAGTCATCTCAACAATAGCTAAAATCTCTCCATATATTCAATGAAAGTTCTCTCCTAACTCAAGGCAAAGAATTCCTCATGTAGGTCGCTTTCCCGAATTGCTCGAAAATGTTCCAACAAGCATATCGGGTATCTAGCATCACTCCACCAAAATCATGTTTATGCTTTCCCTTCCAAACATAACCTTGTTGTTAGGGCTGTAAACGAGCCGAGCTTGAGCGAGCTCAGGCTTGGCTCGTGTTCGGCTCGTTCGAAATAGCTCGTGTTCGAAATCGGCTCGTGTTCGAAATCGGCTCGTGAACTGTGTGTTCGTGTTCGGCTCGATTTAAATATTCGTGTTCGTGTTCGGCTCGTGTTCGGCTCGAAATTGGCTCGTTAAACTAAAATTGAGAAAAATAGATGTAATGGTGGGATTCGAACCTGGATCAAATCTATACAAAAGAAGACACTAACCACATTGCTACATGAGACGTTATGATTTAAATTTAGACATAAATATATATAATATATTATTATATAAATAAAATATGTAGTATTTTGTTATATAAAAAATTATATAATTTTTTTTATCGCCATTTCGAGCCGAACACCAGCGAACAAACTGTTGTTCGTGTTCGGCTCGTTTACATTTCGAGCTTAAAAATTTGTTCGTGTTCGGCTCGTTAGGCTAAACGAACGAGCCGAACACGAGCTGTTCACGAACAACGAGCCAAATTGACAGCCCTACTTGTTGTTATGAACTTCTCCACATTTAGCCCATTCACCGCAAAATATTCCTTCACCAGGTATACCCACCCATGTGTATCTTCCCCTTCGAAGATCGGCATCTTCAACTTCTTAACTCTAGCGTCTCCACTCGAGCTTCCTCTCCCTCTGGGGTTTCCCCCATGTATAGACGGTAAAACTCACTCTGTCAAACATAGTCATATCTTATCTCGGCTTCTCTCATTCCTTCTTCGTACTCCTCCATACCCCTTACATAACCTTATGTCCATGTTTTGACCTAACCCCCTCCCTCAGAAAATCTATAATCCACCCTCCATTGAAGTCATAGAAAGGAGGTTCTTAATGGTGGATGATTTCCTCCTCTTTTTTCCTCTCGTCTGATATCTTTCCCTTTTGATTTATACAAGGATTCTCTGATCAACCTTTGGTTAGGGTTTACAAATTAAACAATCTGCGGGGTATTAGTTTGCATCTCAATAAGCCGACTAATCATCTCTTTCAAGATCTTGAATCAGTTTTCAATGGAGGAAAGCCTTTCCTCTATCCTGAATTTAATTTGACTCGTCTCTTCCTCCAATTTCTTCTCCAATTCATCTATTTTCTTGGTTTTCATTCCCCCAGAAATTGGTTTCGATCTGGAACGAGGAATTAATGAATGTTGAAATCTTGTCGTTTAAATTGTGTCTATATCGTGAGGTCGTAAGCCCCTCATTTGCATAAGTTTCCCAACTAACACTTATCAAAGCTTCGGTCTCATGTCCCCATATGCCGCAATTCTGATGTTGCTACCATTCGATCGTGTCTGTATCACAATGTAGTAAGTTGCAATTCCATCATTTGGATTCAGCTACCTCTTTCCATGATTGTGTTGCAACTAAGGCACATCAATTGTTGCTTCCAGTCCCGGACACGACTAGTATATGTCGCGATCACGTCAGTCTTCCCCACAAGCTCCAATCGCATGATGTACCGTGAGGTTCAGTCACGTCTGTCAGCGTCAATCTGGTCGTTGGTTGCTAACTATGTCAGATTGCAACTGAATCTCAAGATACCATGCGACCAGTGAAAGGAAATAGATGATGGGTTGGTAGATCGTTCGGTTGTGATACCAATTTGATAGAAACCAACACAGATTTTCATGCAAAAATTAGGGAAAATAATATTTTATTGCAAGAATATCAAACAAGCAAGATGATTACAAAAATAGGCACCTACAATTAGAGAGGTAGGCGATAACTCCCAATTGCTATAATTCAAGAGGTAAGAAATCTCTCAACCCTACTCCTAAGATACAAAACCCAATCTCATGCATGAACCCAAACCTAAAATAATTATATTAACAACAAAAATAATCAT